AAATACAAACACCAAGAAGGGCCTGGGTGGCTCAGTCGGTTGAGTGTCTGACTCTTGGTTTCGGCTCAGGTCACGATCTCAGGGTCCTGAGATGGAGCCCGGCCAGGATCCAGCCGCCGGGTCAGCTCTGCGCTCAACGTGGAGTCTGCTTGTCGCTCTCCCTCCCCCCACTCACGTGCATGCTCCTTCCCTCTCTCTCTCAAAGAAATAAATATTATTATTTTTTTAATTTTTTAAAAAATATTTTATTTATTTATTTGAGAGAGACAGAGAGAGTGAGAGAGAGCTCGAGCAGGAAGGAGGGGGAGAAGCAGGCTTCCCGCAGAGCAGGGAGCCCGATGCGGGGCTCGATCCCAGGACCCCGGGATCATGACCTGAGCCGAAGGCAGAGGCTTAACCATCTGAGCCACCCAGGTGCCCCTAAATAAATATTTTGTAAAAAGGAAAAGAAACACAAACACCAAAATGTCACCCGCACACGTGCTTAGGCGATCTTATTTCCTGCACTGGCCTGTTCGGGCCGCGAGGACAGGTGACTCTCTGGAGCTACTCTGGGAGCAGCAGCCTCCCCCGCCTGTGCCCACCTCAGAGACTTTGTACTCGAAGGTCAGCTTCTTCCCCTTCACACCTTCGTTGAGCGTGAGGATGAATCCGATGTAGTCAGCATACGCCTACCAAACAAAGTGGGGAGTGGGGACGGAAAGAGCGGTTTCAGACCCCTGGCCCTCCACACCCTGGCCAGCCCCCAGCTCCACCCAGTTCCCAAAGAGCTCCAAGCTGTCCCTGGACCCCGGCCTGCCAGCAGAAGTAGAACAATACCACCAAATACTCCACCCTACTCTCTATCCTGAACAGCTGGTGAGCCAACGACCACAACGACACCTAGACCTTCAGCCAGAGTTCACTGTGTGCTCACTACTCCCGACAGCAGCTTCTTTACACAACCCCACAAGGTAAACACTGTCACTGTCCCCATTGTATAGATGAGGAAACCAAGGCTTCAGGAGAGGTGACTTGCCCAAGGTCTCCTAAGACCAAGATCTCATTAGACGTGGAGCTAGGACCCCACAAGTCCTCCAACTCCACTATACCACCAGGAGTTCAAGGAATACCAGCAAGGGTTCCTCCCGCCAGTCTTCCAGATGTTTCCCCCACCAGACAGGCCAGGCTGTCAGCCTGCAGTGCAGACCCCCTGCTCCCAGGAGAAGAAACTGTTTTCTGCCCATGGCCAGGTCTCCCAGCACACCCATCCCTGGCTTCCAATTGGGCACTCTCTTCCCTGTTGAGTTGCAGGTTACAACCAGCACAGGGATGAGAAAGCACTAAGGTGTAGGCCCCGGGAGCAAGTGACTTGTTTGGTCTCGTTTCTTCTTCCTCTCTGTTGCCTCTCATTCTCTTCCTTCCTCCTTCTCCAAAATGCCAGCAGCAGCCACAGCAAGCCCTGAGAACTGACCATTCCGTATCTAGAAGGGAGCAATCCTGTACCAGGCCCTTGCTACAGCCCGTGGAATGGCCACAAATGGAAACAAGGGGTCATGGGGCAGGTCCGAGCCCTCATCCTGCCTGCAAAGCCACAGTCGTTCCTGCAAACTATACCTCGATGCAAAGACAGGAAGCAGCAAGGGGCAGTGTCACCCTCCACGGTCCCTGCTCCCACATGGGCCTGAGTCTCTTGGTGACTAAAGCTCAGGTCATTCTTACAAAGAAGACTGTGTGCAAAGTCTCCACCAATGCCACCATCCTCATCCCTGTAACAGTAACAACCATGCCTGCATCTCAGTACAGCTCACGAATGCCTAGCACTGGGCCAGGTGTTTTTTGGACTTTGAGTCATCTAAGCCTCCCAACAACAACATTTTACGGTAGAAGAAATAGGCTTGGCCAGCTTAGGCGTGCTGCCTAAGTCACAAGAATAGGAAATAGCAACCCTGGGCTTCAAGCTTTGACCTCTCTGATCCTAAGTCCACGCTCCTGGTTGCTGCACTTGGCAGCCTAGTGAAACTGTGTGGACCATGCCACAGAGTCACTTGTCGAGCCACGAACTTGAGCGGTGAGCTTCAGAGCAAGTGAAAGCCTTCTATCCAGTATCGTTCAACACATACTCCATTAGAAAAAGTAACCAACACTTCCCAAAAAGTGTTGGTGCCTACAGCAGGATCAACAAACTGCCTACAAAGGGCCAGACAGTAACTATTTTAGGCTCTGCAGGCCATAACGTCTGGTTCACAAATTCTCAACTCTGCCCAACTCTGCCAGTTAGTGCGAGAGCAGCCATGGACAATACATAAATGAGCCTTGCTGTGTTCCAATAAAACTTTATTTACAAAAACAGGCAGAGGTCCAGATTAGGTGAGCAGGCAGTAATTTGCTGACCTGTGGCCTAGAGCATAGTGGCTCAACCCATGGCTATCTAGAGACAGAGGACCTGGGTATGAATCCTGAATCTCATCCCAACCACTTGCTAACTGTGCCATCTGGCTAAACGTCTTTATCTCCTGGCCTCACGTTTCTCACCTTCAAAATGGAGATGACCACTGAGCCCACTTCCCAGAGTTTTTGTGAGGATTAAATGAGCTAAAAAATACCTAGCACGTCATAATCACCCCATCCTCCTTGGAAAACACCCAGGGGGAAAGCAAGGAACTAAAGCCACGTTTGGATTCAGCCAATCTGCAGGTTCAGGGCAGACTCGCGGTTCTCAGCCCAGGCGATTTGGTTCCCAGGCAACTTCTGACAAGGTCTGGAGACATTTTCGGTTGTAATACCTGGGGGATGGGTGCTGCTGGCATCTAGCAGGTAGAGGCCAGAGAAGGTACTAAACATCCTCCAATGCACAGGACAGCCCCCTACAACAAAGAATTATCCACCCCAAAACGTCACCAGTGCTGAGGTTTAGAAACCCTGAGGTAGAACAACCAAGATGACGAAGGGACTCAAATGTGTCCTTTGAGCAGCTGAAGGGACTAAGGTGTTTATCCTGGTGAAGATTCAGGGGGAGAACATAACTCAGAAAAGACATGATAACCATCTGCAAATATTTCGAAGGCAGGCTTATGAAAGAGGAGCCAGGAAGACTTGCATGGCCCAAGAAGAGCCACGGCCATTGCAGGATGTGGGCTCAGTGTCAGCACAGCGGACTCCCTAAAGAGAACCTGCCTTTCTGCACAAGTGACCCCCCCCCAGCCCCAGGTGAGCAGACCAGGTGTGGACACCTGGCTGGAGCTGGGACCAAGGCTTTCCCTGGGGATTTGAAATTGGCTTTCTTTTTCTTAGTCCCAATCTTTCCACAGCCTCTGCCAGAAGCCCAGGAGGTAGAAGCTGTTATTTCCTGCCCACCGTTGGACTGAGCAGCACAGAAAGCTGGTCTGCACTTCCCCTCGCTCTAGGTCCCAGTTCCTAGGTATTTTTAGGCCCAGCCACCTCCCTGGCCTAGGTTTCCATGAGAGTGATAACCTCTTCTCTCTGAGACACACTGGCTCCGAGACCAGCTGTAACTTCTCCCCCAGAAAGAGGGGGACAGTCCTCTCCCTAGCTTCTAACAGCTCTGGTTCCAAGAACAAGGAAGGTCAGGAGCTCACTGTCTTTGAAAAAGCCCAAGTTCTTCATCCCAGCTCTGGCCCTACACACTGGTACCTGAGAACGCTTCCATTTGCCCATGTCTGGAACTGTGTGGATCTCCTTTTTTGGAATGATGAAGTTCTGAGTGGCTGGAGGGATATCCTCCGAAGAATCTTGACAAAGAGAGTGAAGAAGCAAATAGATAAATAGAATCTTCCCCCTCAACCCAACTTTCTCTCTCTCTCTCTCTCTCTCTCTCACACACACACACACACACACACACGTTTAAACCAAGACTCCAACCCCCAGTCCCTAGGGTAAACCAGACACGTCCTCCCAGGACAATCAAGCCAAATCCACTGACCGCCCGCCTTTCCACCCTCAGCCAGGAGCCCCGCCGTACTGACGATGCCCTCAACAACTGACGGGTTCAGCTGCTCCGCGGTGCCCTCACCTCCTGCTCCCTCACCGGAGAATGGTTAGAAAAATAAAACGAAGTTGACCTTTTAGACAGAAGCAGGCAATTCAAAGAAGGAGGGAAAAAATTACAAACGACCACCCATAAACATTTGAAAAAAATTGCCAACCTCTGAGTAAGCACAGAAATGTAAATTAGATGAGATGGCTTTTCCAGATCAGGGTGGCAGATTAAAACCATCTGGCATCAACTGGGAATGGGGAAGCGGGAACTCTCCTGCACTGCTAGTGGGAGCCTTGGTAGAATCTGCTGAGGAGGCAACTCAGCACTGACTTTTGAAGTAAAAACCACACAGACCCATGGAGCCAACAGTTCTACTTGTAGGCATCAACCCTTTATATACACCTTTATATACACCAAGGTGTATATAAAGGCACTTACTGCATGGAAAAAAGGTAGAAACAGCGCATATATCAATTGACAAGGCAATGGGTAAATACTAATATGCTCACATAATGGAAATCTTCATAGTTTTTTAAAAAGAATAAAACCTAAATTACTGACATAGGAAAACAGCCTAGATATTAATAAGTAAAAAAAGAAAATTAAGCTATATTATATATAACATAATCTCATTATTGCAAAAATAGCTATACATACTCGTATAAGTAACATGTATATCAGCATATACACTGGAAAAATCTGAAGGATTAAACCCCAAAGTTAATTAATAGTCATCTCTAGGAGGTAAGATTTATAAGGGACTTCCATCTCTAAGCTACATATTGCTATTAAAAACTAGCATACAGTATGGGGCGCCTGGGTGACTCATTCAGTTGAGCACCCAACTCTTGATTTCAGCTCAGGTCATGATCTCATGATCTCAGGGTCATGAGATGGAGACCCGCATCAGGCTCCGTGCTGGACATGGAGCCTGCCTAAGATTCTCTCTCTCCCTCTCCTTCTCTCCCTACCCCCCAACATTCGCAAGCCTGAGCGTGCACTCGCACTCTCTCTCTTTCGTAATAAAAAAAAAAAAAAAAAGAATTAGCATACAGTAATTTTGTAATCAGAAAAAAAAAAAAAAACAACTTTTAAATGGAGTTTCTATATTTGCAGAACTTGGGGAAAGGAAAACACAGGGCAGTTCCATGTGCTGACCCAGAAGCAAACTTCACACCAAAGTGGACTGCTTAGTATGAGTGGCCTCTCTAGCCAAAAATACCTGGCCCACACTGCAGGATTCCCTTTACTTTGTGACACTGGGAAATACAAGCCTTCAGTCTCTTCTCCATAATTCCAAAATCCAAAAAGTTCTAAAAACCCAAAGTTTTTAAAATAAGTTTGGCACAAATTCATTTGGTACAAAACTTAAACCTAAACCAACGTGAGGACATTTATAGGCTTTGCAGATCCCTCTTAGGGAATTTAGGTTTTCCTGCAGAAGTATTTTTGTTTGATTGTGGGGTGCTCCTTTCTGAAATCTGGGGAACCCTGAATTCCAAAATACACCTGGCCCCAAGGGTCTTGGACAGGGGCCGTGCCTGAATCCACTACTGAAGATCTGTTGTATTAGTTAACACCTTCCTTTAAAAACCCAAACTCTCCAGAAAGAGTCATTCACGACATACGATAAATTTGTACCCCTGCTGTCCTCCTAAAATCTAGCTGACATTGCCTGCATGGAGAAAGGGGACATGGGCCTAAGATGGTTCTGGAACATGTGACATTTGGGAGAATGGAGCATGCCCGGAGAGGCCCCAAGGGAAGGGAAAGCTCTAGGATACCCGGAGACCTGAGGAGGAGGATAGAGAATCTGAGATGAGAGCAAGGCAAACCTCTGCCTAATTCAAAATTGAAACCAGAGCCCAAAAAACAAATCAGAAACTCTCTTCCTCCTCCCACCTGTTCTATAAGCCCTGTTCCCAGAACCCAAAATTGAGGCCCCTACTATTAGTAAATTACTACCTTAATATGCTATTAAATAGGGGTGCCTGGGTGGCTCAGTCTGTGAAGGCCTGCCTTCAGCTCAGGTCATGATCGCAGGGTCCTGGGATCCAGCCCCACTTCGGGCTCCCTGCTCAGCGGGGGTCTGCTGCTCCCTCTCCCTCTGCCTCCTCCCTCCTGTTCATGCTGTCTCTCTCTCTCTCTCTCTCAAAAGATTTTATTTATTTATTTGACACAGAGAGACACAGCGAGAGAGGGAACACAAGCAGGGGGAGTGGGAGAGGGAGAAGCAACCCTCCCACGGAGCAGGGAGCCTGATGCGGGGCTCGATCCCAGAACCCTGGGATCATGACCTGAGCCAAAGGCAGACGCTTAACGACTAAGCCACCCAGCGCCCCGATAAATAAAATCTTAAAAAGAAAAAAAAAAAAAAGACGCTATTAAATTAAAAGCTTTATAGGTCAGGCTGGTAACCTAACATCATTGTTTTTATGGGAAAATGTGTTCCACATTCCAAATAATCAACTTGCAAATGATCATTAGGAACAGAGAGCCCTTCTGTAAGTTCCCTGCCAGGAGACAGACTTTCTGAGTTATTTCACAGGTGGGAAACCGTCCAAGCCAGGCCTGGTACCAGAGGAATGGCTACCTTGTAGGAAGCATTGCAACAACCACTAATGAAACATACACACATGTTGTTACCAGAATATGCAATCTCAAATAAAAGAAACAAGCCTTCAAACCAGGGTCTTGATAACTGAGTCCCTCCGGCCTCAGACTCTATCTCTGACAAAGGTGTCACGGGACAGGTGGATACCCTACAAGCTCACAGTAAAAGATGGAAGTATCTAGAGTTTTAGAGATGTTCCCTAACCCCCCCCCCAAAGTATAATGTAATATCATCTATCATTTGAGAACCAGCCTACATGTTCAACCTGTACCTTTTAAAAGGACAACAGCAATCAACATTTCCTGACTACTCCCCATGCCCCATGTTTTGCCCACATCATCTACGGAACACACGCTACAACTCTGTTGAAGGTATTAACAGCCCCATTTTCAGAGAGAAGCAAGGCTCAGAGAATGTGATCTGCCAGGCAGAGCCAGGTCTGAACAACTCTAAAATCCAAGGTTTTCATCACTACCCTGTCTGAGTGAAGTAGTTCTTTCTCCTTTTTCCAAAATGTCCTGTTTCAAACTTCAAAGAAGGACCACCTCCTGGCACCTGGCTCTTTCCAGCCATAGATATCCTCCCTGTGCCTTCATCTCTTTCAGTGCGTGGGCTATCTCACCCAGCCACCCAACTTCGGAGACACATTTATCTCACTGAGAATTCCGCTTGGCTTCTATCTCTCACAGGCATTACCGAACTTCTAAGGGCACAGGCACGGAAGTTTTGTACTAAATGAAGTAAACGTCTGGTTTCAGATGCCCTAAGAGACCATACCCAGCTCTTTGTTCATCTATTTGGTGCGGGGAAGGGGATGCCTTTTTTGATCTTCATAATTTCTCCTTCCTGAGTCCTTTCCAGGGATCCCAAAATGCAAGACAGTTAGAAGGAATATCCAATGCGTTCAAAACATTAGCTGTGTTTGGCCAATCTACTCGCCCTGTCAGAATTTTAAATCATCTACGGTCGGTCCCTCCTAGCTCGGGTGCGGGAGGCGGGGGTCAGCAAACAGGCTTCCCCTTCTCCAGGAAACGGGTCTCTAGAAGATCCTTTCCCCAGTTACTGGACATGAACTAAATAAAGCCAGGCCACAGTGTAAATAAAAGTTACAGATCGTGGGCGCCTGGGTGGCTCAGTTGGTTAAGCGACTGCCTTCGGCTCAGGTCATGATCCTGGAGTCCCTGGATCGAGTCCCGCATCGGGCTCCCTGAGCAGCGAGGAGCCTGCTTCTCCCTCTAACCCTCTCCCCGTCATGTACTCTCTCTCTCTCTCATTCTTGCTCTCTCAAATAAATAAATAAAATCTAAAAAAAAAAAAAAAAGTTACAGATCGTGATGCCAGGGAGAGGCTCATCTTGCACAACCAGCTTTTTTAAATTAGTGGTTTGCACAACCAAGGGCAGTTTCTCTCAGTACATTTTCAGCCACTGAAACCCGCCTCCAAGAGGGAGAGAGGGTAGGCGGATGAGGGGTGCGCAGGGTGCGGAGGAGTCTGGAAGCCGGGTGGAGGCAGGCCCAGGCCCACAGAGCACCACCCCTCACCCCCTGAGCAGGGTCTAATAAAGAAGGCAGCCACCAGAATCACTTTCGACCCCATCCCTGGCAGCTTCCCCACCAGCTCAGGAGCTGACTTCAGCACAAGCAGCCCGGACGTGGAAAAGGCCTCCCCACGGGCCACGGCGCTGCCCGGGCTCCCCAAGTTCAGGTGTCGCGCCCCACCCGCCACCCCTTCGCAGCCCCGGGTTCTTGCCGGCTCCCCAGACACCCCCAACACGTCTTCCTCAGGGCCCAGCAGCTTCTACCACCCGAGTTCCTCCACCTCCCGACCCGCCCCCTCCCCCGCCGCCGAGCCCCCCCCCACCACCACACCCCTTCCCCGCCTCCGCGCCGGGCGCCGCCCCCGCGCCCCTACCCGACCCCGGCCGGGCCCGGCCCGTCCTACCTGGCGGCGACTGCCGCTCGCCCTCAGCCATCTTCCTGCCGCCGGGAGCCGGCCCGAATGCCTGCAGTCCCCTCTCACCTTTCACCTCCGCACCCCCTCCCTTTGCCCGGCTCCACCAGGCGCTCGGAGCTTTCTGAAGAGAAAGGAGCACCAGCCGGCTATGACAGAAAACCGAGACTTGAAATCACCCCCGTGAGGACGGCCGCCATGCTGGTGCGGGGCACTCAGGGAGCATGCCCAGCAACGGCCGGCTCGCGGCTGCGGCGCGCACGGGGAGGCGGCGGCCACGTTGGTGCGGGGCAGCTGGGAGCATGCGCGCCAACGGCCGGCTCACCTCCCGACCAGCCCGCGGTCGGCCGGGCTGTGGGAGCGCGGCAGCCATGCTTGTGCGGGGCGCTCCCCACCTGTCATCTGCGACCCTATCCCGAGGCATATTAGAGGACGTTCCCTTATTGACATGGTTGTGTAGAGCTCAAGGACACCAGATGGACCGAGAGGGGTGCACGCGACTGCCTCCAACAGCTTAGACAGCCTGTGGAGGTGGGAGACGGCGAGCTGGACAGCAGCCTTCTTGGCCCGTCTTCCTGGATTCCGCGGCCTCGCGGGGTCTCGCGACCACTAACTGCGCCCTCGGCTCCGCCCCCGGCCAGCCCCGCCCCGCGCTCGCGGCTAGCCGCCCGGGCGCGCAACCGGTTGGTGGCCCCGCCCCAAGAACCCTCCTCCCGGGGGCCCCCAGCCCGCCGCCCGCCCGGCCCGGTGGGTGGGCGCCGGGCCGCCTCCGGCGGTGACTCTGCAACCTTGGCCCGGAGACTCTAGCGGGGACCCACCGACGGCGGCGGAGGCGGAGGCAACGGCGGGGACTTTGCCCAGTGCGGCGGACGGAGCGGACTGTGTGTCCGCGGGCGGGCCCCAGAGATGTTGGCTTTCGCGGTCAGGACCGTGGTGAGTACGGCGAGGAACCCGGGCGGGCGGGCCCTGGACAGGACGGGCGGGCCGCGAGTCGGGCCAGACACGCAGCTGCGCCGGAACGGAGAAACAGGCCATGGAGGCGACGCGGCCTGGTGGCCACTGTCCTGCCCGGCCAACAGCTGCTGGGGTGGGATCCCCAGGTGGACTAACCCTGCTTGGCAGAGGAGGGGACGGAGGCTCAAGGTCAGAGATCCGATCGAACGCACGTCGTGTGGCTCTAAATTCCAGCCACCTGGAAAAGATAGTGGGGACCCTGGCTTCAGGCAGCACCTCCACCCTTAGACCCAGAGCCAAGGGGCTGAGGGACCGGGGGTCTTTCCCCCAGTTATTCCCTGACTCACACAACTGTCGCATACTCAGCCTGAGCCATCTATGCCCAGGCCAGAGCCACTTCTCCAACCTCATCCAGTTGGTCAGTCTCCTTGGGCTTATCAAATGGCCCCTGGGGAATTTTGTGTGGCCAGAGAAATTCATGTGGAGGCCTCAAGCTGGGCGGCTTGGAAGATCCTCTGAACCGGCAGGAGGCAGCAGTTGGCAGCCCCATACCCTTTGTCGCCACCAGTCCCTCCCCGCCAGCTTGTCCATGTCTACCCCAGAATCCTCCCCACAGGGCAGCAAGCAGTGCTGCCACTCTGATTTGAGTTCCTTTCCTCTCTCCTCCAAGCATATCTCTGCTTGTATCTCCTTCTGTCTATACCAAGAAGGATGTTCAAACAGACACTACCTGGCCCAGGGGGCTGAGGTTACTCATCCGCTGGCCCAGAGGCTCTTCCAGATCTCCCAGAACCCCAAGGCTCCATGTCACCCTTGCCACTGACACCGAGCAGTGCCCCCGTCTGACAGACAGCTTCTAGGTCATCCTCCAGGACCTGCTGGGTGGCCTGATCACTTTACGGCTGGGGAAACTGAGGCAAGGAGAGACTTGGCCAGAATCCCCCGGATCTGGTGACTCAAATCTAGCAGAATCCCAAAACCAGCTGCCTCCTCCTTCAGTTTATTTTTTTAGTGCCCGAAGTCCTCCACTCTTGCCCCCAGGTGACGGCTCAAGAGAAGCAGGCTTTGGTGGAAGGGAGGCCCCCAGAAGGGCTCCAAGGGTACTGGAGGAAAACGGGATGAGCTCTTAGCAGCCCCTGGCCACTTAATGGCCCTTTCCCAGTGTCTGCTGTCTTGCACCCACCCCAGTTTACAGGACTGATTTCACAGTTGTGGTGGAATCTCAGTGGCCAGGCAGTTTCTGCCTCCAGGCAAGTTTTCCATCATTAAACAAACCTACGCAGATTCCAACAGGTGGATTTTTAAAAATTCCTCCTCGCCCTGGCACCAGACCCACCCAGAGAAGAGAGGAGAACATAGTCCAGGTTTCCTCCTACTCTGGTGCCTACTACCAGCCCCTTCACCTGCTCCCTAATCCTCTACTTCTGGCAGCCAAGAAGGATGCCTGCCACCGCCACAACCCTAGATGCCACCCTAGCCACCAAAGCCATTGCCACTTCCGCCTCTGCGTCCCCCCTGAATCTTGGCTCTTGTCTTCTCTTTCCAGCCCAGGCAAGTGGCTGTCTCTTGCTAGGTTCTGCTCGCCCACTGGGTAGCACAGTTAGGCTTAGAGGCCCAGCCCAAGGCAGAAAGACAGGGCTCAGAACCTCAGTCCTGCCATGGAGGACGGGCAGCAGAAAGAGAAGGTATGGAACAATCCTCTGCCACTTGCCTATCCACTGCTGCCCACAGCCCCCGGATCTCCTATTTCTCTTTCTGCCCACCTCCAGAATCTCCCCAATTTTCTCTCTCTGCCACCTCCTACCCACCTATCAGGCCATTTAGCTCTTGCTTACCACGGCACTGCCCCTATGCTGCCTCTGTGCCCATCCCACAGACAGATGAAAACCAAGGCCTGGCCCTCGCCCAAAGGTGCTGTCGTCTTCCGGCTCTTTCTGACTTTCTCTTTATGCCTCTCATCTCCCAGCTTGGCAAGGGTGGGAGAAATGGAGGCGGGGACCCCTGGGTGGGAGCGGTCACCTCGCTGCTTGCTGGCTGGCTCATTGGGCTAGGGTGAAGAAGGTGGGGCCTTGTTGCTTCCAGACAGGTGACAGGTCGCTGTCAGCTCTGCCACCTCCAACAGGTGCCATTCATCCTGACTTGGTTCCCGGTTACCGGGATCAGTGGCCACACCCCTGCCCATCCCCCTACCTGCATCCCCAGGCCCCAGAGAGGTGGAGACACCTACAGTGTGAGGGCTGGGAAGCCAGGGAGGCACCACCCAAGAGGCTGTCTCTGACCCCAGGGATGGGCACATAAGTGCCCAGGACCAGAGCTTTAGGATTACCAGGGTCTTCCAGAGCCGGTGTGAGAATGAGCAGGATGTTCTGCTGCCTGCAGGTGAAGCCACTGGGCTTCCTCAGGCCCTCCTCCTTGATGAATGTCTCCAGCCGCTTCAAGGCCCACCAGGATTCGCTGCCCCGGTTGCCCGTGCCCGCGCTCCGCCAGTCCCTGGACCGCTACCTCAAGGCGCTGCAGCCCATCGTGAGCGAGGAGGAGTGGGCCCAGACCAAGCAGCTGGTGGAAGAGTTTCAGACCGCAGGGGGTGTAGGGGAGCGCCTGCAGAAGGGGCTGGAGCGCAGGGCCAGGAAGACGGAGAACTGGGTGAGTGGAGCTCCCTGTTCCCATACGGGTTGAGGGGCCTGGGGCCCTCTCAGAGGTTCAGGTCATGAGAGCATCCCTCGCTGTGGCCTGGTGCCGGCCTCATGCTGAATTTCCTAGCACCAGCTGCTCTGGCACATTCTTTCGTGCCACGGGGTTTCTTGAGCGCTTCCTCTGTGCCTCGCACTAGGCCGGTCCCTGAGCGAGCAAGAAGGACACAGTCCATGGTCCCTTGGGGCTGACATTCAAGGCGGGTGGGAAGCAAGGTGATTAACCAGCATACAGGTGAGTGGATGAGTTTCTTTCCGGCAGTGAATTTCCCCAGGAGAAAAAAGGGAGAGAGGAGAATGGCAGTGTCTTTGTTTTGAGTGGGCAGCGGGGAGGTGGCCTTGGATCTGAGACAGAGAACAACTGGGCCAAGGTGGCAAGAGCCTAGCATGTCCAACAGCCAAGGCTGGAATGTAGAGCGGTGGCCTGGGGCTGGGGGTGTGGGGCGCATCAGAGGAAGGAATCTGGGCTGGAGTCCCGTGGGAGGGGGCCACAGGATGGCTCCAAGTGGGCCATTGGTCCTGTTCAGTGACAGGTCAGGTCGCCCTGGTTCCTTGTCCCCATCTGTCATGCAGGTGTGCACAGCTCGTGAAACTGGGTCCACACTGATGCTCCGTGCTCTTTTCTGTGTGCATCTTGCACCTCAGCACGGTGGAAAAGGAACCCCCCCAACTGCAGGGAGGGAAGCGGGCGTGGGGGTGGGAGGCATGGGATGAGGCTGGCACTGGCACCCCAAGGGAGATGCCAGCAGGGAGAGGGCAGATGAGTCAGTTCCCTCTGTCCCGTGTATGTTCTGGAGGCAGCACCAGTGGCCCTTGCTGATGGGGGTTGTGGGGGGAGCCGTCCTGACCTAAAGCAACTGCGTGGCGGGCCAGGGGCCGGGGGGAGAGGGAGACTGGCCAAGACGGGGCGGGCCGAGGGGGGAGCAGTCTTGTGGGAGAGAACCAGAGCCGGGTTTCAGCCATATAAGGTGGGAGATGCTCTGAGTGGGGCAGGTGGAGGGCTGGGGGCTGCACACAGGAGCTAGGAGTCACCAACTGGCAGGCTGGCATGTACTGAGCCTTGGCAGGCACTTAGAGAGTCTGTGGTCTGGCGGTTTCCCAACATTTTTATCCCGGAACTCCTTCCCACAGAAGCTTCTAGCTGAAGAGGTAGGGGTATCCCCTTCTCCACTCACAGGGCCCTCGTGCCCAGCAGATTCTCAGCAGGGGAACGCCCACATCTGCAGGATCTCCCCTTATTTCCCAGCTCTGGCCAGAGGCCCTGAGATCCTAATGGAGTGGGGGCCCCTGGCCGAAGGGCAGCCCGGCTGCTCCCAAGGGGAGGGAATTCCTGTCTGCTCCTCCCTGACCCACAGATGAGGAAGCTGAGGCCGAGAGGGGTAGATTGAAAGCCCAGAGCCACACAGCTGCTCTCAGGGAGGCCCTGAGCTACACAGGAGTGTCTGGCCGACCAGGAGCCCTGTCCTCAGGTCACAAGTCAGCAGACAGACGTTCCTCCCCGGCCTGCTGTATAACCTGGGCACATCACCTTCCCTCACCCCTTGCCAGGGGCCCACGGCTGGTGGCCTGGTGCTGCAGGCCAGCAGTTCCCCAAGCAGAAACTGTTCAGTGAAGAGGCAGGTCCCACTGCCGTTTGAGAGGGGAGAGGAAACACAGTGGGGGTGTGGGGCACCTGGGATGGAGAGACCGGCCAGAGAGGTGTTTTAGACATGTGCTTGCAGGGGCAGAGCGAGGGGGGTAGTACAGTCAGCACGTAAGGCTCAAGGATGATAGTCAGTGATAGCTGCACAGCCTGGGGATAGGAGCCTTCAACAGCCTGTCCATGGCTGGTCCCCAGAGAGACTGCTCCCCCAGTGGAACTAGCGCCCCTTGGGCAGAGGATAGACCACCAGGTGGAGACACAGGATGTGGTACCCACATCTTGTCACTACGGCAGTGATTTACCCTCACAGGGAGCTTTCCCAAGATGGCCCTGACCTGGAGACCCAAGGGAGTGTCTGCACCCCAGTCTGACACCAACAAAACCCAGGCCACGGAGGACCAGGGTCCCAAGGGCTACACTGCACTGAGCCCGTGCGTTCCTGGCTCCCTGGAGAATGTCTCCCTGGGACAATCAAAAACACATTCATCAGACTTTATAGATTTTTCCCTTTTTCCCTTTTTTGTCTATCCGGCATATATATATATATATATATATATATATATATATTTTTTTTTTTTTTTTTTTTTTTTTTTGACAGAGAGAGACACAGCGAGAGAGGGAACACAAGCAGGGGGAGTGGGAGAGGGAGCAGCAGGTTTCCCACTGAGCAGGGAGCCCGATGTGGGGCTCAATCCCAGGACCCTGGGATCATGACCTGAGCCAAAGGCAGACGCTCAACGACTGAGCCACCCAGCGCCCCTATCCGGCATATATTTTTTTCTTTCTAAAAGTAGTAAAATCATTGACCAAAAGTGTGTAAGAGGGGTGCCTGGGTGGCTCAGTCGGTGAAGCGTCTGCCTTCGGCTCGGGTCATGGTCCCAGGGTCCTGGGATCGAGTCCCGCATCGGGCTCCCTGCTCAGTGGGAAACCTGCTGCTCCCTCTGCCTCTGCCGCTCCCCCTGCTTGTGCTCTCACTCTCTCTCAAATAAATAAATAAAATCTTAAAAAAAAAAAAAAAAAAGGTTTGTAAAAGAAAGGAAAATGATTCCCATTTCTGCCTCTGCCTCCTCCCCTCACCCCACTCCACCCCCACCCTCAGGTTTCCTGCCCGGTCTTTCTCTCTGGAATCTTTGGCTTGGCAATATTGTCTGATTTATCTTGCTAAGGTGGATTGCCTCAGGCGAAGGGGAAATGATGGGGTGCTGCTGGTGGGTTGAAGGGGGTGGGGGGCTCTGGATCTGAGCATTCACACTGAGGATCTGCGCTCTATAGTGGGGGCAGAAGGGGCCCAGCCAGCTCCCCGCCCATGCCTCACAGGCTCTTGTCTTTTTCCCAGCTGTCCGAATGGTGGCTCAAAACAGCCTACCTCCAGTACCGCCAGCCCCTGGTCATCTACTCCAGCCCTGGTGTGGCCCTGCCCAAACAGGACTTTGTGGACCTGCAGGGACAGCTCCGGTGAGTGGCTGCGACTGGGACAGGGCTCCAGGCATGTTCAGGGTCCTGACGTCCAATGCCTCAGGAGACTGCAGGGGCCCCAGTCCTGGTCATTATCTTTCATCCCCACATTCAGCCTTATGAAGTCGGGAGTATCATCCCTAGTTTACAGATGGGGAAACTGAGGCTCAGAGCAATGAAAGGGCTTGCCCAAGAGTACCTTTCAGGATTGGCTGATCCGGGCCAGAAAGCAGGGTCTTCCTGGCTCTACAGCTTTATAACTGGTCACCACACTGTGGACCATGTCTCCTCCCTCCCTCTAAACCTGAGGCTATCCCTCACATCAGTTCTGATACTTCACCACCCTCCTCTCTCACTCCAACTGGCCACAAGGGTGACTTTATACACAGTCCCCTTTTCCACATTTGGCCATGTCACTTGCCCTGGCCCCTGTTCCGGGACTACCAGGGATAAAAATACCAGTGACAGGGATCTCCTGCCCAAGGACCAGCCACCCAGGGCTACCACCTGTTTCTCTTAAAGGGACCAGGGTACCCCAAGAATTCTGGCTCAGACTCCAGCCCGTGGTCCACATGGTCCAGGGGCAGCCCAGGTGTCAGGCGTGATTGGCGTGGCCCAGACCATCCAAGGAGGAAGGTCAGGTTGAGAGAGGTGGCCTGGGAGACACAGAGGCCCCCAGACAGGAAGGTACCTATCAGAGGGGACACCCTGAGCCACTGCCCTCCCATTCATACTCCCTGTCCCCCAAGGTCCCAGGTCCCTCTATAACTGAGGTTTCAGAGAAGGGTGACCTCCTTCCAGGCTCCAGGCTGTGGTTCAGGGTTTCAGGCCCTGTGTGGGTAGAATCCACCAGCACTGACCAGTAAACCAGCTATAATCGTACCTCCATTCATTACACCTACATCCTGCCAGGGCTTGGCTGAAGCATCTCCCTGGGCCCTCTAAGAGCTCTCCCTCTAGAGATAAGAGAAAGCTGGCTCAGAAAGGCAAGCTGGGACTCAAACACAGGTCCTGCCCTTGAACTCCTTCATGCTTACTGCAAGTGGTGAATCAGAAGTGAAGCAATCTGTCTCCTTTGACTAGGCCCCTCCCATCAGCCCACGGGTGTCCCTGATCAGGGACCTCCCTCGAGGAGTCCACACAGCCTCTGATCTCTAATTGGTCCCCCCAGGTTCGCTGCCAAATTCATCGAGGGCGTGTTGGATTTCAAGGCCATGGTTGACAAGTGAGCAGCCCGCCCCACTCCCCTTCCCCCTCCCAATTACCACAGCCACTCCAGCCTGGGCCGGGGCAAGGCCAATCAGCAGACCGATGCTGGGCTGGCCCAGAGCTCCTCGCTTTCACTTCCTGTTGGCCCAGCCTCTGTTGGGGTTGGGGAGACAGAGTGTGGGGACTGGAACACCTAGGTCCTCTGCTCCCGCTGCTGAGTCCGCCGCCTGGTGACATGGTCCCGACAGACCCCTGGAATTGGTGTCCCAGGCAAACAAAGAGGACCGCAGAGGTTGACTCACTGCTTCATGTCTACTCTGGCAAACTGAAGCACAGAGGGGGAAGGGGGTTTCCGGGGTGACCCCAGCAGGGCCCAGCCAGGGTGGAAGACAGGCCTCCTGACCGCAGGCCAGGCCCTGACCCAGCCCTGGCTCCTGCTGAGTGGGGGTCGGGACACCACTTGTGTGAGCCCCCTTCTCAGCTGTGCCCAGCAGCAGCTTCCTGCCGGTCTTGTCCTCTTTCCCACTTACTTGCCTGGTGGCCCCCTCACTGGCCCTCTGCACCCCCCCCCCCCGCAGCGAAACCCTGCCCGTGGAGTACCTGGGGGGGAAGCCGCTGTGCATGAACCAGTACTATCAGATCCTGTCCTCCTGCCGCGTGCCAGGCCCCAAGCAGGACACGGTCATCAGCTTCAGCAAGACCAAGAAGCCGCCCATGCACATCACTGTGGTGCACAACTACCAAGTGGGTGGGCTCCCAGCCTGCTGCAGGGGAGGAGGGGGGCAGGGCCAAAAGTCAGCCGCCCCACCGCACAGGCCCCCGCGTGCCCAGGAGCAGGCACACCCTGGGCGTCTCCACCGGGTGCCCCGCTAGGCCCCAGCCTGAGGGCAGCCAGGAGGGGCTGCGGGCCTGCCCAGCCTGGGGGAGAGCAGTGCAAGGCCCTCCCCCCGCTCACACCCATGGCCTGACTTCGTCCCCTCGGCAGGACCTGGGCCAGCTGGCACTGGCTGCAACTTCTGGGTTGCCAAGGCCAGGAGGAGGCAGGGGTGGGAGGTAACTGCCGCCAGTCTGAGACACACACACACCCCTCCCATGCCTCCCTTCTCTCCACTTGCCTGTGCCCGGATAGTTTTTTGAGCTGGACGTGTACCACAGCGATGGGACACCCCTGACATCAGATCAGATCTTCGTGCAACTGGAGAAGATCTGGAACTCGTCGCTGCAAACCAACAAAGAGCCCGTGGGCATTCTCACCTCCAACCACCGCAACTCCTGGGCCAAGGCGTACAACACCCTCATCAAAGGTGCCCCTGGGTGGGGGTGGAAGAAGGAAGAGAGGCCCCCCACCAGGCCCTGGGCAGCCACTTTTTTCACTGAATCCTCTCAAGTCAGAGTGGGTGTTGTTGGTCCATTTCACAGATGAGGAAACTAAGGCTTGTTTGGGTTTAGTTTCCCTCTGTTAAGCAGCAAGTTACGGTAACAGTCGAAGTCCTCTGGCTGCAGACCCCACCTCTGCCTCCACGTTCCTTCCAAATCCTGTGTTGGTCGGGGCATTGTCCCCAGAGCCAGACCCCTGTGTTGGCCCTGAGCCACACTGGCTTTCCACGTGACCTGGGGCTTCTGTTTCCTCATTTCTTTTTTTTTTTTTTAGATTTTATTTAGTTATGCACAAGAGTTGGGGGAGGGGCAGAGGGGGAAGGAGAGGGACAGGCAGACTCCCCGCTGAGCCCCGGGGCTCCATCTCAGACCTCACGACCCTGAGACCCTGGCCTGAGCCAAAATCAAGAGTCGGGTGCTTAATTGACTGAGCCACCCAGGCACCCCTCTTTTTTTTTTTTATAAGATTTTATTTATTTGTTTGACAGAGAGAGACACAGCGAGAGAGGGAACACAAGCAGGGCGAGTGGGAGAGGGAGAAGCAGACCTCCCACCCAGCAGAGAGCCCAAAGCAGGGCCCGCCCGATCCCAGGACCCTGGGACCATGACCTGAGTCAAAGGCAGACGCCTAACGACTGAGCCACCCAGGCGCCCCTCCTCTTTTTTTTTTAAGTTTATTTTTATTTTGTTAGAAATCTTTACACCCAACTTGGGGCTCGAACTCACAACCCTGAGATCAGGTGTTGCAGGCTCTTCATGACCTGAGCCAAAGGCAGACGCTTAACCAACTGAACCACCCAGGCGCCCCTGTTTCCTCATTTCTAATGCGGGTCTGGTATTGGGCCCTGCCTCACGGGGTGCCAGGGGAGCCGCAGGGTCCTGTTGAGGGTAAAGCTCTGACGCCCACACCTAACACGAGATGAATGCTCTGGAAGCCTCCGAGGCCTCCCCGGGCCTGACATTCAGCCCCATCTCACACCCCTCCCGCCTGCCTCCACAGACAAGGTGAACCGGGAATCAGTACGCTCCATCCAGAAGAGCATCTTCACCTTGTGCCTGGACGCCCCCATGCCCCGGGTCTCGGACGATGTGTACCGCAGCCACGTGGCCGGCCAGATGCTGCACGGGGGCGGGGGCAAGCTTAACAGCGGCAATCGCTGGTTCGACAAGACGCTGCAGGTGAGGCCTCGGCGGGGCCAGGACGCACACCCAAACTTGGCCCACTGCAGCCTCAGGACTTCCTGCCCCTCGCCTGGGCGTCCCTGGCCTCCCAGCTAGTAAAACAGGTGGGAAGCCAGCAGGTGGACGTGGCTGTAATTACCAGGCGGGTAGCCTGTCATTAGCGGGCCTGGCCCAGAAACCGCTGTCGCCCCTGCAGCACATCAGAGAGAGCCTGGGCTGTGGGGCCAGGCAGAGCGACGCGGTCTTGGCCGTGACTTTCCCTCTCTGCGCCTGTAAAATGACCCCCAGGGAGGGTCGTGCAGGGACTCAGTGAGGTGTATGAGTATGCGATGTGCTTGCTGTGGCTTGGAATGGGCCCGAGGCCCCTGCTGAGCATTAGCTGTTACTAATAACAATCATAAGTCATCCCAACCCCTGAGATGGCTTCAGAGAGGCGCTTCCCACGGACCCAGCCAGCAGAGAGTGGCTCTAGGGCCCTGGGCCTGATGGGGCCCTGCTCCCCTCCATAGTTCATCGTGGCAGAAGATGGCTCCTGTGGGCTTGTTTATGAGCATGCAGCAGCAGAGGGCCCCCCCATCATTGCCCTTGTGGACCACGTCATCGAGTTCACGTGAGTGTGGTTGTCCCACCCTCCACCCAGTTCCCTAGCTCCCGGTGATAGGTGACACACATGGGGAACGCCCCTCTCCCTTGGGCCTGGGAATCTGTTTCTTCAAATGAAGCTGGAGGAAGGAAGGCCTGGGCGTAGAGTCTGTCAGACCTGGGTTTGCCTTCCGGCTCTGCCACTTCGCAGCTGCAGGACCTCGGACAAGTCCCCTCCCCTCTGCAGGCCTCCTCCATGTGGCTCCTAGAAAGCTGGGGCGAAGGCATTTTTCTAAGGAGCAAACCCAGGGTCTCCCTAGGCTGGCTCCCTCCAGCCTCGGGGACCGTGCCCCACCCCCACCCCAGGCCCAGGTATGGACCCAGGCTCCCGAGGCCTCCTCGTGTCCCATGCAGGAAGAAGCCCGAGCTTGTGCGGTCCCCCATGGTGCCCCTGCCCATGCCCAAGAAGCTGCGGTTCAACATCACCCCCGAGATCAAGAGTGACATTGAAAAGGCCAGGCAGAATCTCAGCATGTAAGCACCGGGCACAGATGGTTAAGTCAGGGTAAAAGCCCGGGTCCCTGGAGCCTGCCGGGCTCCTGTTCTGGGTCTGTCGTCGTACCCGGCTGCTACTGAGCCTGGTCTTGGGCCTTCCCTTGGGCAGCCAGGGGCTGCCAGATGCTGCCTGCCCCTCACCCAGCTCCCTCTCACCCCACCCCAGCATGATCCAGGACCTGGACATCATGGTGATGGTGTTCCACCACTTTGGAAAAGACTTCCCCAAGGCGGAGAAGCTGAGCCCCGATGCCTTTGTCCAGATGGCCCTACAGCTGGCCTACTACCGGTGCGCCCCGCCCCCACCCCGCCGGTGGAGGAGGCATGAGGCCTGGGGGTGGAGGCGGGGCAACCTGCCAGGGGGGTGCTCAGCCCCCTCTCCCACCCAGGATTTACAAACAGGCGTGCGCCACGTACGAGAGTGCCTCCCTGCGCATGTTTCACCTGGGCCGCACCGACACCATCCGCTCTGCCTCCGTGGACTCGTTGGCCTTCGTCAAAGCCATGGATGACCCCAACGTGTCGGTGAGTGGTCCAGGGTAAGGGTGGGCAAGCTGGTCTCCCTTCCTATACGTTCTGTCATCACACCATTGATTGAGCACCTCCTGTCCTTCCAACCCTTCAACCCCTGGGTGCTGGGAATCTCCCAGAAGGTAGAGTCATGATTTGGCCCTGAGCTTCCTGGCAGCCAAAGACTAAAAGGAACTGTTTGTTCATTCACTTATCTGCAGCGAGCTTCTGCCCTATGGGTCAGGCCTCGGAGAAGGACTGACGAGAGAGAGGGCAGTTCCCATTTCTGCTCTCAGAGGGCGTGGACTCCGGTGCTGGCTGGGAAGTGGGCTGCTGGGGTGTGGGCGGCAGGAACAGGGAAGGGACATACACTTCAACTCCCTCACCCCCTAGGAGCACCAGAAGGTGGAGCTGCTGCGGAAGGCCGTGCAAGCCCACCGAGCCTACGCCGACCAGGTGACCGAATGACCTCATTTCCCAGCTGTCCGTCTGCCTGTCCATCCCTGCAGCAAATGCTGCTCACCCTTAACACAAACCCCTCCTCCCCAAACCTTGGGGCACTTGGGGCACCTGGAGCCAGGCTGAATATTGCCGTTTTAAAGTTGGAGAAACCAAGGCTCAGCCCAGTGACTTTGTTGGTCCCGGGTTAGCCTCTGGATCTTGCTGGCTCAGCCCCAGAACCCTTGCGTCATGCTCTCTCCTCAGTGTCCCGGGAGCCCAGGACGCTGAGGGTTTGCAGGGTCTGGCCAACAGCAGCGGTCCTGCCCTCTGACAGCTTGGGCGGTGGTCAGGAGGGTGGAGGCCTGGGTTTCCATCTGGCTCTGAGCACCTGTGTGCGCCGGGTTCGGCCCACGTTCCATGCAGATGTCCATTTCGATTCACTGCCACCCTGTAAAAGGAAATTCAGTGACCATCCCCATTTTATAGATGAAGACACTGAGGCTCCAGGATGTAAGTGACCTGCCAAGGCCCCATAGCCAGGATGGGGCCAGGCCACCCAGCTGTAGGCCTGTGTTCTTAAATCCTGCCCTGGTCCCTCCCTGGACAGGTCCCTGGGCCTCAGTTTCCCCATCTGTAACGGGAGGGCTGTACTGCCTGGACCCTCTGGTCTTGGGAGTCCAAGGGACCACCGTGTGGAAGAGGCGCTGCTGCCGCAGGCCTTTGAGGAAGGTCAGGGGCACCCTCTGGGCCTGCAGCCGCTGCGCCTGATGGCTTCCCCTCTCACAGGCCATCCGCGGGGAGGCCTTCGACCGGCACCTGCTGGGCCTGAAGCTGCAGGCCATTGAGGACCTGGTGAGCATGCCCGACATCTTTATGGACACCTCCTACGCCGTCGCTATGCACTTCAACCTCTCCACCAGCCAGGTGGGCCACTGCCCCGGAGCCATCTGGGTTTTCCTGCCCTCCGGGCCCCCGCCACTGCCCTAGGTGCCCTGGGGTGGGATGGCACAGACCCTGCTGGAGCTGGACAAAGGCTCCACTGAATAGAGCCAAAGTCCAGAACATGGTCAGACCTTGGTGGTGGTGTGACCCATAGAGGCCACCCCATGTCCACTGCTGAAGAACTGAGTTCTGGTGGAAGAGCTGGAGTCAGGGGGCTGGGCTGCAGCTCAGGGAGGCTGAGAAGGAGTCAGAGATCCCCCCCCGCCCCCCACTGTGGGAGAATCACCTTCATTCATTCACTGGTCAGGCACGAAGGAACGTCTGAGTCATGCCATCCAGTGCTGGGCACTGGAACACAGCAGGGACAGACCACCATCCTGTGTCCCTGGGGGCTCACAGTGTAGGCTGGGAGCACAGGGACCAAGGCAGTGACGTTCCCCCCCCTCCCCGCCCCAGGAAGTGCTGGGGGTCAGGGGAGGCTCAAGGAGGGAGCACTTAAAGCTCCCTCGGGAATGGCAAGGACAGCTCCGTAGAGGGTTGACTCCAGAACTGCGCCCCAAAGGAGGAGGAGAAGGAAGGCATCTGCTGGAGAAGAGGAAGGGGCGTCTCGGGCAGAGCACAGTGCGAGCAGAGATATAGAAAGGCCGGCTGGTGCCACCGCGGGGCTGGAGGGGAGCCCGTGGGGTAGGACGGAAACCTCAGTCCTGTGCTGTCTCCAGGTCCCTGCCAAGACAGACTGTGTCATGTTCTTTGGGCCCGTGGTCCCAGATGGCTATGGCGTTTGCTATAACCCCATGGAGGCGCACATCAACTTCTCCGTGTCGGCCTACAACAGCTGTGCCGAGACCAACGCAGCCCGCCTGGCGCACTACCTGGAGAAGGCACTCCTGGACATGCGCGCACTGCTGCAGAACCACCCTCGGGCCAAGCTGTGAGCCCCCTGTGCTCAGGCCTGCCGGCGCCACAGCCACGCCCACCAACGTTCCGCTCCTTTGCTCCCTCCCCACCGGACCCTGCAGATCTGACTAATGCAGGGCCTGCAGGCCTGAGCCAGGGCCTTCCATGGGGTCATCCCCAGCATTTGCTGGGCCCAGGTCCTGGGCTGAGTTCAGAGGCTGAGTAGGACGGAAGGCCCTGGCGCCCAGCGCGTCACCCATGAGCCCACCTCCAGGGGAAGGAGCCCAAAGAGCCCGTCCCTCGCTAGGGCAGCAGACTGGGAAGTCCTTTTCTTGCTAGCTCAGCTCTAGCCAGCCCCCTGCCCTCTACACTGCTGGCTCCTAAGGATCTAGAGCCAGGACTCTCTAGAGCCAGGGGCTCCAGGCCTCCCCAAGGCTGAGGCCAGGCTGCAGGGTGTGCTGGTAAGGGAAACCCAAGGCCTCGACGCGGCCCACCCTGCATGGCAGTACTATCTTCCCCGGGGGGGAGGGGGGTTGCTGTGCTCTTTTGGATCATGTGGCCCCTGAGCCCCGACTCACTTGCTTCCACTCAGCTTGATTCCTGAACCATGTTGATGGTTGTATAACAGTAACATACAAGGTGATTAATTAATAAAGCAGAAATTTGTCGGTGGAGAGGTGTTTCAGCCGAGGGGGGAGGCGAGGTGGGGCAGACGCTTTGCCTTCTCTCAACTTGGCCTGCATCTGGGAGCCAGTGTCCAAGCAGCCAGCAGGCCCGGAGGCTCCCAGAGCAGCCAAGAGGAGGGTTCTCCAGCTTCGGCTGGGGAGCTGCAGGCCAATGCCGACCTCAGGGCACTTAGCCGGGAATGGCACCAGACCCAGGGCTGCAGTCTCCACTGACTTGGGCCTCCCTGTCCATGGGCTGTGGGTGGGAACGACTCTCCCGGTGGGGCTGGGGGGCCTCACAGCCGCAGCTGTGGCGGGCTAGGCAGTGTGGAGCCGACTCTCAGGGCCTCGTCCTGCCACCCCGACACACACACACTGAGCCGGCAGCGGCCACGGCCAAGCAGCCTTGCTCAGCCCGGCCCAGCCCCAGGTGCTGCCAGGGCCTAGCAGACACCACGTCATGCGGCCAGCTGATCAGAGCCCTATACGTGTCCCCAGCCACCCACACCTCACAGGGCCAGGGTGTCCTGCCAAAATCAAGTAGGCTGTTTATGGAGAGAAGAGTCTCCTACTCAGAAGGATACTGGCCCTAGGGAAGGCACCTGTGAAACTCCCCAGAACAGGGGCTGAGGAGGTGGAGGTGGGAGAGGTCGCAGAGCTTGTGAGTGAGGCGACCTGGCTGACTCGGGACAATCACGTGAGGGTAGATCCTCTGGCTTTCTCCATTTTGCAGACGCAGAAACAAGCTCAGAGAGGTTAAGGTCACCAGGCCACTAATAGTGGCAGAGAGACATTTCCAGAGGGCCCACATAGCCAAGCACCCAGCGCCAACACCACACCCACTCAGACAACCCCAGGGCAGCAGGTGGAGGAGAAAGGAGCCCCGGGTGGAAACCGGCCTGGACTCGGGCCCCTGAGCTGGTGATGAAGGAGGACAGAGGGCCCCAGCCCGGGAGGCACAGGAAGGCGCCAGCTGGACCAAGGCACTGACAGGTGAAACTAACCTGTGCTAGGCACTGGGGACCGTCCAGCCTGATGGGGCCTCCTCACAGCCACACAGGTGGGGACTCAGCGTCCCTGTTCTCTGATGAGGCTAGGACAGGGTGTGCCCCTTGCCCAAAGTCCCAGGGAGCAAGAGGGGCCCAGAAAACGGGGGGAGTGGGTGTTGTCCTAGGCCTGGCCACTCAGGACCCCAGCACGGCCAGTAGGGTGGGGTGGATGCCAAGGGAAGGGGTACGGGAGTGCCCTCGTCTTAGGGGCCGTGAGCAGGAAGGCCTGCCAGAGAACCCCACAGGACACAGCCTCTACTCCACCGCTGGAGAGCTTCGGCTGGCCCTTGGCTTCCCTGTGCCCGGGTGTCCTCGTCCGTATCATGGAGGTGGTGCTGCTCCCCCAGGGGGCTACTGGGAGTCTCGGGAGCAGGCCCACTGCAGGAGTTGAGTGAGTGCACAGGTGAGCCCTAGTGCTGCAGGGAGGCGCACACAACCCAGCCTGGGGCAGCAGGGGAGCAGCGAGAGGGATCCAGGCCGAGGACACTGCCTGGACAGACACCCAGGGCTCCGGAGGCTCGAGTTCTAAGTGCATGGGTCTGAATATAAGGCAAAATGATCCTTCAGGAGTGAGGAACTGCTACAGAGGCTCACTCAGTTCTCTAGGGCTGAAAGTACCATTTGGAGAAGACGCATTTAGCACAGATGACCCCAAGCAGTGTTAGACGGAAGGCTGGGGGTGGGGTGGGGGTGAGCGGAAGGCAAAAGAACACTGATTTAGTCATTATTCCTGAGGGCATGACATGTGACCTCACACTCTGCAAGTGTTGCATGGGGGAACAAGTGTTCTAAAGGTCTCTGGACACTGTGGGAGGTGTTGGGGAGATGACACACTCCTACAGGATCGAGCTTTTTTTGTTGTTTTTTTAAGATTATTTATTTATTTATTTGACAGAGAGAGAGAGAGGCAGTGAGAGAGGGAACACAAGCAGGGGGAGTGGGAGAGGGAGAAGCAGGCTTCCCGTGGAGCAGGGAGCCCAATGCAGGGCTCGATCCCAGCAGCCTGGGATCGTGACCTGAGCCGAAGGCAGATGCTTAACGGCTGAGCCACCCAGGCGCCCCAGGATTGAGTTTTTAAATCCAACTGTCTGGATCTTATTTATTTATAAAAATAAATAAAACCAACTGAACGTTATGCCAATGGACACTTGCATTTTGGGATAAAATTTCTAGGGATAGTGTCATGCGCTTAGCCAGTGGACCCAGAGGATTGTTGGCCCCGGGAGCCACCAGACCCTGATGCCAATGATGCAGATGAAGAACTTGGTTTGGGGGGTGGTGGTGGTTTTCTGTGGGTTTTTTGCAAAGTATGAGTGAAAAAGAATGGCTCTAAGTATATTTTGTACAGGGACGCCTGGGTGGCTCAGTCAGTTGAGCGGCTGCCTTCGACTCGGGTCATGATCCCAGGGCCCTGGGATCGAGCCCCGCATCGGGCTCCCTGCTCTGCGGGAGCTCCCACTCCCCCTGCTTGTGTGCTCTCTCTCTCGCTGACAAATAAATAAAATCTTTAAAAAAAAAAAAAAAAAAAGCTAATCTGAAGGTTAAAAGATACAAGTTGTAAATAAATAAATTTTGTGCAATACATTATTAAAATCGAAACTATGACACAATGAATGAATGAAAGATTACTTGTTTTTTACCTAGATCCCCTAAAAGTTTGTCCAGGTTGGCATGAACTTGCTTTGGGCTCTTTTCACTGGGAAAGCGCAGGGGCTGGAGCCTGCCAGGTGAGGTGAAGGCCAGACCACCTAGGGCCCCATACAGGGGGACTCTCCCAAGACAGTGAGAATGGTGTTTTAGGAAGATGCTGAGCAATGGGTTGAAGGGGGCCTGGCTGGGCTGCGGATGAGGGAGCCATGGGCAGAGGCTTCGCGGTCTCCAGGGAGGGACCTGGACCCAGAGCGGCCTGGCAGGTGGAACGAGACAGACATTTGAAAGATGTTTATCAAGTATGAAGTAGAGTCAGCTAGGCTTGGGGCCCAGACTGAACGGGACAAGTTGGGCTGCCTAAAGGTGGGGATGGTGGGCAGGGGCGGGGAGCTGTCAATGGGGGTAAAGGCAGCGAGTCTACCTGGGACTCAGGGAACCCCCAGAGTTCACTGGGCAACCCCTTTCCTTTCCTCTCTCCTCCCTGCCTGCTGGATCTTGTCCCACCTGTCCTCCAGCTTGCTTGTTCAACTGTGTCCAGTCTGCCTTGCACCTGCCTATTGGGTTCTTGTTTCTTAGCTATTCTATTTTTCACATTTGATTCATTTTAACATCTGCCAGATCTCACTTTAGTTTCCTGTCCCCTACAGATATTTTCAAGTTTGTCTTTTACTTCCTTAAAACAGTAGAACAATTTAGTCTGTGCCTGATCATTCCAGTATCATCCTGGTATCTATGGGTCTGCCTCCATCGCCTGCTTTCTGCTAGTTCTCAGTCATGGCCCCACTTCCTTTTGTACCTGGCCGTCTCGGTCTGTATTTTGTGCACCATAATTTAAAAACATTTTACACAGGGGCGCCTGGTGGCTGTTGGTTAAGCGTCTGCCTTTGACTCAGGTCCAAATTCAGGGTCCTGGGATCGAGCCCCGTGTCAGGCTCTGTGCTCAGACGAGAGTCAGCTTGTCCCTCTCCCTCTGCCCCCGCTTGTGCTCTCTAATAAATAAAATCTTCAAAAACTATGTACACAAATAGGTCTTGGATGAAGTTTCCTCCAGAGATTTGTTTGCTTCTGCCACATACCTGGGGTGAGGTCAACATAACTGAATGTCAAGGTTCTGTGGACCCAGCAGGGATCCAAACCCAACCTCCAGGCTCATGTGAGGACAGATAGTTCTGGTTCACCCTGACCCTGACTGAGGGTGGTCGTTCTGCATCTCTGCTGCATGGATCAAGGAAGGAGCAGACTCCCTACCACGGGCCAGCCCTTGGGGATGACCTGATACCCATGGCACTCCCACAAGGCCTCCAAACACGTGGCTCAGCCTGCAGCTGTATCTTCCAAAGCAAGACACTGAGTTAAACAGGGAGTGGAGGCGGCAGAGGCTTAGGAAGGGCACGCTTGCCCAGTCCTCAAGGGCTGTCCCACGGAGGGGGCAGTGAGGCCGAGGGCAGCGCCAGAGCCAGCCGGGACCACGCGGCGGGGTGGAGCAGGACCGCCAGAAGGGGCAACTTGCGGCTGAACAGCAGGCAGCAAGGTCTCCTCAGACACTGGTGCGAAATGTCACAGGGACTGTTCAAACCCCAGGTCTGGGGGCTGGAAGGGACTAGATGTCTTGGAGATGCTTATGATGTTAGCCATAATCCCTGCCCCTCAGGGTCGCATGTCCCCACGGCCACTCCCCAGTCTCCTCTCATGAGCTCAGGCAACATATGCTCGAGCTGCCAGAGTTCAAGGTTTTATTTTAAAACAATAGTAAACAATTTCATTGATTTTTCTTAAATCAAACCACCTCACACTTGGCTTGTCTCAGGCAAAAAATAAAAAATAAAAATAAGAAAGGAAGGGGAGGAAAACATGGGGACTGACCAACCTTCCCCAGAAATAGGCCCCTGGTCCTGGCATCTGGAATGGCTTTTGGACGCTGTCTTTAACAAATGAGAAAAGAAAGCACCGAAATATTGTGCTTCAGCAGCAGATTAGGAACCTCCACAAAGAAAAAGGGTCGGGGGCGGGGTATGGAACACAGGTCCCGAGCAGCCTGGTTCAGGTTTAGAAACTTCCAGAGTCTGGAAGCATCTCTTCTCCACAACTCCACTTGAGAGTGACTTCAGAGGTCGGGTCCCTTCGGGAGCAGCCGCCCCCCACACTGGACAGTGGGGACCTGTGCAACCACACCCCGGACACAGGCTTGAGGATGCCCGACAAGCGCCCAGGCTCTCGGAGGGTGTCAAGAAGGACAAGGGAGTGTTCTGAGCACACAGAGGGGAGGGGAAGAGAGGACAGAGACATCAGGCGCCCCCAGCTCCGCTCC